TCCTAGATTGGTTTTTAGCAAATAAACTCTCTCTCAATATAAGTAAAACGCAATGTATTTTTTTCAATCCATATAGAAACATTAATGATGATATTCAATTGATTGTAGACAATGAAACAATAAATACATCACAATCCACGAAATTTTTAGGACTCACCATTGATAAAAATCTTGATTGGTCTGAACATATAAAGCAATTGAACACGAGATTGAGCAAAGCTATATTCGCCATTCGAACAATTAGAATGAATACTAATAGTGACGTCGCAAAAACAGTATATTATGCCTTTTTCCACAGCCTTCTGCAGTTTGGTATTGAGTTTTGGGGTACTTCTGTTGAATCAACATCTACCTTCATTATACAGAAACGTGCGATTCGAACAGTATTCAATCTGAGGTACAGAGATTCATGTAGGAATTATTTCGTAAACTATGGAATATTTACTTTAACCACCTTATATATATACAAAGTCTCGCTTCTGATCCACAAAAATAGTGGTTCCATGTTGCGCCCAGCAGATATTCATTCATACCCAACCAGGAACCAGTCTATAATCCTTCCAAATTATCGACTCAATAGAACTCGTAAGGACCCCTGTATACAGGGATTAATATTTATAATCACCTACCGGAAGTATTGAAAGCACTATCTATGAATAAATTCAAGGCCGAGTTGAAAAAATTATTACACCAACATAGTTTCTATAACCTGGATGAATTTTTCAATACCATTTTCTAATATTACAATGCATATACTATAATCATGTCTGTAACATTGGTTTTATGATATCTAGCTTTTTCAGTCATCTTTTCTTCACATAGATAACTTATATTGCATGCGACTTGTCTATAGCCATTTTCACTAAGCTCTATGCGATAAAGATACACCGAGATATAATTTCACTGTTATACTTCTTAATATTATGTGTCTGTATAGGTATGTACCTGTTATCTGCAGATATATTACAAATCTGTATCTTTTGGGAAATAAAAATCTATCTATCTATCTATCTACCTTTTCTGCCTGTTAAGCGGCAGGAAAAAGCCATACTATCTCTACCGCTTGGAGAAAAGCAATGTTATTAAATAAATAACTGGGTTGTTTGGATTTTAATAGTTAAAAGCAGAAACAGCTCATGTGCAGAAATCTTCGATTATTTATATGTAGCCTGCTGTAATTTATGAGATACTTTTTCTCGAACTCCGTTAGGCAGGCACCATAATAATATACTATATCACAGTAGTTTAGGTGTGATAGTACTAATGTTTCACATAATAACTTTTTTATGTTTTTACTGAAGCGATGTGGGTATGAATTATATGGTCAAGAACCAGTGCATTTGGTTAGCCAAATATTAACCGTAGCGATTTGTCGATAGCGACATTATTTCGTGTTCGGGCTGGCCAAAAAAATGCGTTATCTGAGAGGTGTCTAGATACTCGGTGTTATTAGTCGTGTATGCGAGGCCGAGTCATGATTAATTACGAAGAAACGACCGGCATACGGGATCTCCTTCGACCACCTGGTAGGGTCACAATTTCTGCCCGAGTGTCATCACGTTTGTCCGATTGTCCGTCAGTTGGTTATTGTTATGCTTATTTTGTCGTTGATTTAGCGGATGCGGTTGCGATGTAATTTAGATTGTTCCTGCGGTGAGTTATTTAGCAAAGACGATATTATTCTTGTTCAATAATTATCGGTATATGCTGGGAGGTCCAAATATATGAAATGTCGATTACGCCAGAAGTGCTTGTCTAATTAGTACACAAACCGTACTTTTAATTCCATACCTATATTCGCTAGGGTTCCTTGATGCAAACTGACGTATTTGTCATCTCAACAGAGTACGGACAGATCCTCGTCTCCTCTCATTCTAAAGTGTTTGTGAAACAGTTATACAGGGTGTTTCATAATTGAATGCTGATCCTAAAGGGCGATATCCTTGGATGATTCTAAGAAAAATTTTGTGAACATAGGTCCGCAACAGCTTCATTTATGAGATACAGGATGTTGAAATTTAACAAAAAAATCAGTTTTTCCCCAATATCTCTGAAACCGCTCTGGCTTTTTTCTTCAATTTTGGTACATGCCAAGTATGAATAGAAATACATTTCTTCCATAATGAAGGATTTCTTAATTTCCATCAGTGGCGTCCCTGTTAACATACCCTGTTATATTTTTCATCAAAATAATGATACGCCACTGTCTTTTTTCCAAATAAATATTATTTTTGTAATTATCCTCTATCTTCTCATAAAAATGGTCTCTTGTCTTTTTTCCGTCCGGCGAACGGTTTTTGAGTTAGAAAATAAAATACATACATTTGCTTGTCCCTATTCGATTTTTACTCTTAGTCATAATTTCAGAATTGTGGTAACCAAAAGATCTAAGCAATATTTTTATAATTTTATGGTAACTATTTTTAGGTATTTGTAATGAAGAGAAAAGCCATAGCGGTTTCAGAGACATTGGAGAATAACTGATTTTTTTGTCAAATTTCAACATCCTGTATCTCAGAAACGAAGTTGTTACGGACCTATGTTCACATGAAGAATTTTTCTTAATATCATCCAAGGATTATAGCCCATTAGGATCAGCATTCAATTATGAAACACCCTGTATAGTTACATACGTAATTTCCACATGTAATTTCTCATTCAACTCTACATATTATATCCAAATGATGATGATAGTTTTCGAGTTTTTGATTTTTCAACTCCAGCATAATCTTTGTGAGGTAGTTGAGCAAATTTTTCTGAAAGTTTAATACGTTTCACCAAATGGGACTGTTCTTAGGCAGTACCTATCAATAAATGAATTTCGATTTCAGACTAAGCCTTATGGTTGAGAAATGGTGAAACATTTTTTGTGGGTATTCAAACTAATGTGCTCATATGTCATGTTTGCTGTATATATTGATGTTGGAAATCATTTTTGCAGTTTTTCACGAACACTCAATATTGCCTGAATGTATAGGTATAATTTTTTTAATAGTAGGGCGTATGCCTCTTCTTTAAATCCTCCGTTTTAATCAAAACTGTTTCTACTTAAATAAATTCAAAAACTTGTGAAGTGGATAACTATAGGCACAATGAGAAAGAATAATATGTGATTTCGTACTAGTTTTACTTCGAAAATGTTGCTGATGTATTTCCCCATTCGGTCACTTCACTTTCTATGTTCTAACTTCATTTGCATTTGATGGAAAGTAGATACATTCAAATTTGCCATCCAACTGATTGATACATCCTAACACAGCACATTTTACCATCCTTCCAAAACAGAATTGAATAATGTCATAATAAGATCAAGTATGAAATTAAAATTTTTAAGATCTCTTTCAACGCCTATGAATGTGACGTGACAGCAATGTCATGTCAGGGACGCCAATACACGAAACCAAAGTCACTAGATGATTAAAAGAGAAAGGAGCTATGATCTGTCCGTACCCTGTTAGATGAAGGAACCATTTCAGTGACAAATGTTATTCCATCTCAGTACTAACCCAAACTATTTCGCATCTCAAACTTATTTTTCCGCAGAGCTGTGTACATTTTATACAATATACATATACCGGGAAATTCACGATATTTCATAACATGAAAAACAAACGCGGAACAACACGGGACAATGGGATATACAGGGATATACAAACTAAATGACTAGATATACTGAACACAGCAATAGATCTGCTTCAGTTCAACAACAATTCTCGAAATATTCGATTTTAGATTTCTCTTGAGTCTTCAAGATAACGAGGAATTTCATCTCAAAAATTGATCAAAAAATTAAAACAAAAATAGAGGACGCTACTTTATGGCTATTCAGATCTTATAGTGTCTCTGCCGTCTATATATACATAGAAATATGATGAAAATTACATTGTTAATTCAGTTTTCTTATATCTTTCTGAAGACTACTGATCATCAAGTTTTTACTGCACTTCTGGCCATTCTTGTGTCTGTATCTAGTATATCTTTTGACCTTTCGAGCTTGTGTGTATGTGAGAAATGCTTGTGGGGTGAGTCGACTTCGCATTATCTATTCTAATGTCGGTTATCTAGAAGTTAATTTTCTTCAAACATTTGTGGTGGAATATTGGATACTAGCAGTTGCTTTTTAGGTTTTTAGTATGGAGGTCGGTTTTTGACCGTTTTCAACGTACGTCTATAATATGTACCGTGTTACTATCCATGCTTGAAGATGATGAAGACTATGAATTCCATTTTCAGATTTTCGAATCCGCTTGAAAATTTTTCTGCTAAATATTATACAGGCTGATGTATACGGTGGATGGCACATTAGCATTAGACGTTTCTGGAGAACGCAACGTATAGGATTATACTGAAAATTTGGTTTCTTGGATAATTAGTTGTGTTCTATAGACCTGAAATATTCTTAACACTGCGACGTTGTCGCTCATATTGAAAAGTAGCAACATCTTTGATTTTTTTTATGAGATGAGAATCAGCCTGTATAGTGATGAGATTCAATTCGAAACTGATTCATCTCAGATTCAAGAAACATCCACCATTTTCATTAACTTCGGCTAGGACGCTTCATTCTCCGCAAGATTTCTCGTGTTATATGCCTCCCATCAAATACTAGGATTGAGCCGAATTTGTAAGTATATAAGAATAAAAAGGCACCTATAACAGGACATGCATATAGGATGGAAAGCAAAGCGAAGCATTTCATTCATACATTAGTTTCGTTAGTTCCTACCTCAGTCAGACCATGTTACCTATTTTTGGAAGCAAAAGGTATCATTGCACAATATTCTGTACAATAAACAAGATTGCAACTTGAAATAAGACATTTCAATGGATTTCATGTCAATGTGTGGCAAACTTGATTCATGTGAATAATATTGTAAAATGAAATTTTCCAAAGAATATTTCAGGACTAGAGAAGAGCACTGAGAAAAGCAGCATGATATGACTCTTGCACACTCCTTATCTTCTCTAATACACTACGTATAATTACTTGCCTGCCTCACTTGTGATCATTGGTTGTAGCTTCCTAGTGGCGAAGGTATACACGTGACCAGTTTCTGATGCTACCAACAGCATCACTTGCGTACCGGTCAACGTTGACAGTTCGTATGCCTGAAACAACAAGATATATTCAATGAAATTAATTGATTCATCGACTGTCGATCAAAGCCATCATTGAACTTTTGTCAAAATTTTTCATGATTTTGAATGAGGTGTTTATAATTCCTCTGGTGTGCCCACTCTTCAATTGTTTCGTCATAATAGCTCTCGATATGAACAATTGAATGCGAGTTCGGAACTCGGGGTTCTCATATTCGATGAAAGATGGCGTAGTGTTGCCATCTAGACAAGACAAGACAAGAGTTTACCTACTCTTGTCTTGTCTTGAAATTTCAAGACAAGAGTTGTATACGCGTAAGTCTTGATTAAATAAGCTAAGTGCGGTCTTGTCTAGATAACGAAAGTCTAGATTATTATTCAAGACTCTAGAATTTAACTGACTCTGAAGATAACAGTCCACTTGACTTCAATTTTTTATTTGAAAGTTCTACCTCTTCTACAGACAATTTTATTGACAACCCAAATTTCTGGAGAAAAGAAATTGATGAGTACCTTTCAAGTAAACGCTTATTTTCTAGAGCTTCGATTACCATTCGTAAACATAGGAATAAGCTTAATTCCTATTCAGCCAGGTCACTCCTATGTATCAATTCATGGGCTACCTGTCAGCTTCATGAAAGTATTAAAAAATATGTTTCTGTTTAAAATTTAATTTGTTTCTTTAACGTACTTACATTTAAAACATATTAAACGTTTGTAAGTTTTTTTTGTATTATTTGTAATATAGATTTGAAAATAATCAAGATAATCTAGACAAGACATATTGATGCTCTTGTCTTGATATTCTAGACAAGACAAGAGTCTAGAATGTATAAGACGGCAACATTAGGCGTGAGCGATGGACAATTTCTTGAGAAATTTCATAATGCGTTTCGAATCTTATTATGAACTTGAACTAGACTTTCAAGAATGTGTTTTCCTTCTTCCGGGACCTAAAAAGTCCCGTTGATGATGCAATAATTCAATAATAGCTTATATATAAGAAGCATCTAAAGACAGGACGCGAAAGAGATAGGTCGCAACAAATAATCCGTGCTTAAACATCTCGATCCTGACATATTATTATCTGTCACTAGTATCGTGTTTTTGGAATATTCAATAAGATTCGCGATAGAAAATAACACGTCGCCCCACCTGACGGCAGCAACTTGAACACTTTTGAGTGGTTTGTTTTGATGATATGACCAATGAGCAAAATCAAAAAACAAATGTTGAACTAATGAAAACAAAGTAAACATGCCGCTTTCAAGAACGCCTTCAAGAACTCCAATAGGTGGCGTATGCTTATTTCCTATCGCGAATGATTGAAGTATTGTAAATTAAAGAGCATAAGTAGTTTATAGAGCAGGTATTGATATTATATTATTAGTTGAGTGAGTGTATTGTGCTTTCATCATGGACTGACTGCTGCAATGTGCGAGGATTATTTGAAAATCCGAACATTCGTTTTATTTTATGCACGAAAAGTGAGTGAATAAACTATTATCACAGGATTTTCTTGGGCTGAGGCTTCGTGTCGTTCATGAATTCACCATTGAAAGACGAAAATGTGAACTCAAATGAATGTGTCATAATGCCTGTGAATTTGGTTTGAAACTGCGGAGATTTAGCAAGATTCTCCCACGCCTCGCTATTTTTACAAAGTAGGCGATATCGAAAGATTTCGAATCTGCTTTCAATAGGAAGTGATAGCACCATTTGACTTTCTATACATCTATATTTTGAGTTTATACGTTTATACAGAGTGTTCAACTGTGCTACCATCGGGAATCGGAATGCCCATCATGCACATCTATACAAAACGCAGTTTGATTAAGTGAACATTTAATGATGCATGTCCTTTCAAATACTGGTGAAGCCATACTATTCCACGCTCCTTCACCAGATTTGCGGTTAGGTTCATCAATTATCAGTATTTGGCGAAATAACCATCTGAACGTGAGGATAACTTAAAGATTCTCCATAATTTTACTGTTGAAAAATTAGAAATATTTCACTATTAACGGGTCGGCCGTTTTTCAAAACTCTGTTCATGCAAAAAAGTATACATCGCAAGCTTTAAAATTATTACATTGTGACCAGGATAAGGTTGCACTTCAGCATTGGGATCTAGAAAAAGTTGCGTATTTAAAGGAGTCACTCCAACAGCCTCGAACAATTTTCGAAATTATCTATAGTTTCTCAGTACTTATATCGAAAAAAAAAAATTATTACTGGAACTTCAATTCCATTTTATTTACCGGAAAAACTGAAAACATTTTTCCATAGCAACTTTTAGTGATATTGATTTCTCTATGCGACGTTTCGAATTCGTAGAACCTTCATCAACTTTTTTAAATACGATTTTGTGTTTACAAATTCAGAAAGCTTTTGTGATTCTGGAAAACAGGAGCAGATTCATTCTCAGAAATGGCAATGCTATAAGTGGAGATTTGATATGTTTTCGACACTTTTTCCACTCCTTCCAAATTGTTTTAGGAAACAAGGTGTCACCGAGTATCAAATGAATTTTTTTCCATGCTCTCTTATAGTGAAATGTCCAAACTCAGTGACATTTTGAAGCAAATCATCTGATTTGCTTTTACTACTCATAATATTGGAATAATATAAGTAGTCATATTTCTAGGGAGGAGAAAAATAGAGGAAACTGAACAGATTTGTTTTTTCTTCTGTCAGAAACGAAGCGAAATACAGATATGATTAGAGGAGCTAAAAGTGCTATCAGCTCAGATAAACGGCAACGTGGAAACAATTCACATAGTTCGCTTCTCTGCGGTTTCATAATATGTTTTTCCTACTCACATAACTAAAATGGCATTTAGCGTACGGATATGTACCACGTTAACTGGTCGATTAATCACGGAGTGTCGATCTGTGATTTATTCGAAATATTAAACACGTTACCATGGCAACACGATTTCTTAAACACATTACCATGGCAACGCAGTTCATTAAACACAGCTTCACGAATTTGAGACATGTCTGGCCTGTCAATTGTTATTTTCGAATTTTGTATCAGAATTATTCAAACAATATTCGTTTTTATCAGAATTCTCCATTAAAAATATATGCGAAAAGTAGACGAAAGTGAAATCGAAGAGAATGTTCTGGTACTTGCATATCTCCAAGAAGTGTAAAAATGAAGCATCCATCTTTGAGAACAGTTTATTCATTCTGCGCTAAGCATGACAATAAACGTGAAACAAAGGTTAGCAAGCAATGGACTGGACACATCTACAACCAATATCACTCATACGTGTCTCACTGGTTGCATACATTATGTTCTCAATTCCCATTCCTTTCGAATTATTTTATAGGTTAGCAGGAATTGCAGGTATGTTAATGAAATTCTCGGAGTTCGTAGAAAAAGCATAGTATGTAACGCGTTTATAAACTCTTCTAGACACTCGTTTATTAGACACTCGCTCCGCTCTGCTCCGCTCGTGCTTAAAATACTCGTTACTTAAAGGACGTTTATAACACTTGTTACATAATATACTATTTGAAGGTGCTGAATCTGAATCGGAAGTTTGCAAAAAAATGTCCTGCAGCGTTCCGAAATTTTCGCACTTTCTCCAGTTTTTTGTCCGTCACTCGGAAACTAAAGATTTGAGCGAAAATAACGCCCCATGCAAAGTTGAAGTGTATCAATTGTTCTATTTATATAATGAAAAATATGACCAAATTTGTGTATTTTGCAACAAAGGAACCAAATACTATGCCTGATGTGAAGGCGTCCTGACCATGTGAGTTATTGCATCTGTCAGCGTGTACTTCGATTCTTGAATTGTCACAGTACTTAAACATATTTACATCAAATAGGTAGCGGAGGAAAAAGAAAACAAATTTATCTCATTCACCACCAGAAAGTGGATGAGAGTATAGACAAATTTGATTGCATCACAAATCTGGACTTTTTTTGTGGACCCGCCCTCGTAAACTGAAATTCACCCTGAGGATACGCCTATGATCCGAAACTGTCGTTATTCTTGATTGATCCATCAGTTCAGAAGAAGCATTCGTGCTACGACGCGAGCCGTATAGATAAAGAAATATGAAAATGGAATGTTTATGTTGACAAATTTTATTTATCGTATCAATAAAATAATACGGTAGATATCGACAATGATCGCCATAGTACACTATAAAGAACGCTGGTTGTCGTATAAATAACGGAGCACAATGTAATGTTAAAAAGCGCAACATTTTCGATACACGCAATTGAGAAAGGTCGTAAAAGATCGAAAAGGCTGTGATCTTGCCGGCCTATTCTTATTATCTGTCAGTGTTGCCAATGTTGGTGAATTATCACCAGATTTGGTGATTTCTTTGACAATCTGGTGATTTTTCGCAGAGTGCCATAGAGCCCATATCGATGGTCATCTCACGTAATGGCGTTTCTCAGTTTTCTCAACTTTACAGGAGTGCAATTCGAAGATTTTCATTTTTAATCAAAAGTTGAGATAGGGACATGTAAGCCGTTTTGACCAATAATGAATAGTTTACGACATAAAAATTACGATTTGTTATCTCGAAATGTAAGATGGAATCATTCTGATATTCCCTAACAGGGTATTAATACAATCATTATTCGAATAGCTTCGAGAAAAAATTGTTATTTCACTGCTCGGAAATGTTATCAGATGTACATACATGATGAAGACAGTTTCTAAAATCTAATTTGGAGATAACTTCAATTCGTTCACTCCTCCTCGCACCCACAATATAAACATTTCCGATTCCAATCAATTCACCTAAGATATCAATTGATCGCCAACCGATTTTTCGATTGGAATCGAAGACAACCCAGAGGGAGGCAATAAATTCTTTTTGTATATAATTGGCGTCTCTATATCACGTAGGTATTGATTTAATTGCCTTGCACGTAATGGCATAACGATAAGTTTTCGGTTTTTTGAACATGCCTCTTGGCTCCCGCATCTGATAACTCAATAACCAGTTTTTTCGTGTCATTATTACTAATTATGATTAAAGTCGATATTGTTCGATATTCCATTTAATGGCGTCAGATGTTGCCATTATAACGAAGGAGTTATTAAAATGTCCTGGACAGCGAAGGCTTGATTCGTCTTGTGTTCAGAATATTCGGTAATATCATGTGGTAATTGATAATGCAATACACCATCATTTACTAGACAACTTTTACAAACTTCATTTCATGCACGTGACGGAACCAAGTGATCATCTCGGTAACCGTTGTTGCTTTTTTCAATTTTTTTTTTGTACAGGTTGATTTAAAAACAGCAGATTCTGAAATATTTCTGCCAATGTGGCTGTTTTTTAAGACGTTTTAATCCTTTGACACGTATTGCACTAATTACGTTATAGCATCTTCAGGAGACAATTAAAACGAAAATGATGGGTTTTGGGTATAGCCACCGAACATAAACATCGACGTATAGCGCAGTTATTTCGGACTATAAGATTATCTTGACAAGAGAAAAAACGAATTCCTATTTGAAAAAGAGAGATGTTTCTCATTCACTTTCTGAGCTCGCTATTCTGCGCACCCTGTAAATTGAATAATTCCATTCAACCTTCATTATTCATGATTCAATCACTGTATATCACCCAAAATAGTAATTCACATGAAAATCATTGAAGGAATTGAAATACGTTATGAAATACAGAGTTTCCTATTGAAAATAACAAATATATGTGCATGATGTATTGTAAATGAGTATACATTCACGGATATAATACAATACAATATTCAAGGGGAAAATCGAGGGGAAAAAGTAGTAGATTTTAGCTCGAAGCAGAGGGAGACAAAAAACTTGTGAGATAAAATATAAAATGTTTCCCGTGTACAGTGCATAACACACTATTTTCATCTGTGATAGGAATGAGGACGAATCCTCGGACGAATCAATATTAAAAAGATATATAATTACATTATATTAAAATCAGAAAATTATCGACGTAAAATTTGAAGTATTCAACAGGAATTACACATGCGTTGCAGGCATCGTTATCATTCTTTTGAAGTAATCAAATATCTGTCAGTCTAATTCTGTGATTGGATTTTGAAAACTTGCGAACTTAGTGGTTGTTTAGTACTTCTCGTAACCGTGTAGAAGAATGGAAGATAAAAAAGGACTTGCAGTTCTTTCTTGGAGAAAGTGTATTGGTTTATTTTTCGGAACTAGCGCAACAAAAGCCAACAACAGAGTAGTATATATACAGGGTGATTCACGGTGGATGGCCTATTAGAAGTATCTGGAGAACGAAACGACAGAACATTCTGAAAATTGGGATGCTTTGATAATTGAATATTCTCTATCAGTCTAAAATATTTGCATCGATACAGTATTGCCACTTCTATCAGAAACAACTAGCAACTTCGTCATTTCAAATGGAGCACCCTGTATTTCATTGCATTTTTAGATTCTTCCTGAAAAGCTGATTCCATCAATGTATCACACTTGGGGTCTAGCAGAAATGATTACAGAGATATAGGGTGTTCAAAATCGAGATTTTTCAATTCTAGGATTTATTTGTGTCGAAACGATTCATTATCGATCAAAACGGCTCACATGTCCCTTCAATTATTATTTATTTAATGTTCTGTTTTTTCGTTCTCCAGATACTTCTAATAGGCCATCCACCGTGGATCACCCTGTATATCCGGCAAAAAAGTACTAACTTTGTTCCCGTGGGAAAAAAGTAATTTATGAAGAGTAAATTTCTATAGGTAACCTGTCAACAGAGTTGAAATGTGAAACATTTTTACAGTCACAGAAAAATAGTTATTTGTTTAACTAGGCAGCAAAGTAGTAGATTGACTGCCGTGGCTGAATTCATAGCCGAGCGTAGCATGGCGAGGCTAGGAATCCAGCTAAGGCAGTCAATCTACTTTGCTGCCGAGTTGAACAGATAATTTTTTCTCCGATTGTTCATAATCATATGGGAGAATATTGTATTTGCGAATTAATACAATTCCCACAATCTCTTTATTCTTCCTGTATAGTGTTCAATTAAAATAAAATTTGATAGAAATCGCAGTTGTTGGTTTGACAATTCATGAAATTTATGACTGTTGTGCGAAAAAATATCGGTATATTCAAATTATTATATAATGGACAGTGATAGCGACCTGGAAGTATACTTACTCCTCCATTAATAAGGGAGGTGGCAAAAAATATAGAGTTGAATTTATGTTGCCGGAGAAGTCTCGGATGAAATATGAAGGAAATTATAAACGATTTATGGTTTTTTAATTTTGCTGATACATGTCAATCAGCAAAGTACCCACTTTGCTGCCTAGGCAGGAAAAGTAATACTTTGCTGATTGATATGTGTCAGCAAAATTAATATTTGCTGCCAATCGGAGGAAAAATACTTTGTCCTATATTCACGACTAAATACCGAGCTAAATACCTACTGAACGTAACAAACATTTTGTCACTGTCAAAATATTGTTGTTACTTCAACTGTCAATTGAACAAATCATTCGATAGTATGAATTCAGTCAGCCAGAGTGACTTCTGTTGCGCCTACAAGATATTTGGTCGTGAATATATAGGACGAAATATGTTGTTGGTTCCGAGGTTGGTTCAACGAATCGTTCGTTTCCGTGTTTTTTCATGGTGACATCTCACAATTCCAACGCTGACTAGAGGTTAATTTTCATTTGTTCTCTCGAAATAATCCATATGGTTCCTCCATTGTTTTTGAAGTGGGTATTGAGTTACAACTCGGTTACAACTAAATCTCTCATAGACATGTATCTCATCACACAATCAGATGAGCAGTGGACCGAAAAGATCTTCAAAGGTGTGGATTGTCAATTGAAGAACTGGTACGACCATAATTAGCGATTATTTTCCAACTTACAGTTAGACAAAAAGATAAAGGAGAAAGCAAGAACCCTCGTTCTTTCGTAACAACACACATAATTAGTGACCATATGCATATATTATATTATTGGATCAGGAATGCCGAGAAATTATAATACGTTCTTTAAAAATACAAAAGGCCAAAAAAGTGCGCTATCATCCCGTACTAATGATCCCAATATTGTTGAAGTAATAAAATTATAATTATAGGCGTTTGTGCCGACACGAATTCGTTTTTATAATGGAAAATATCTGTCAAAAATATTGAGAGAAAAAAATTGTATGATCCATTATGTTATAGTTGAGATAGAAATTGGTTTTACAATGCTTATTATCGATCTTTTTTCTTCGTATGTTCAATATAAATACCTGTCATGTTATTTTAGAAGATTGTAAGGCATTCATAGGGATTCAACGATGAAATGTAGTAGCCGCCGGATTTTGAATGAGTTAACAATATATCCTGCGTTGCATGGATGTAGATGTGGATGTGGAAAGTCATTCGGAAATCGATGAATATCAGGTCCAGTATTCCGCGAATGAAAGACCCAACCGAACCTACAGCGAAATTTTGAGCAGGTAGGTACACCAATAAATAAACACGAATTAGGAACAAACTATTTGAAAAAACTACGAGTTTGAAAGAAATAAAAAAAAAGGATATGCCCACGTCACCCATAACACATAACAAGCTTCAATAGAAAAAAATGGCATTCGACCATGTTTGGGAATATAATGCCGACTTGATTTCTGTTTGGCAAGGCCACGCTTAGTCGGCGGTCTAAAGACTGCTGGCTGGAGACTGTCCTGCACTGATGAGAGTCAAAGAGCTCGAAACCAGTCTGTAGGTATCTAGCGTGGCCTGGCTAAATTGAAATCAATAGGCATTCAGGAAAGAATCACTTTTATCAGTAATCGTTTAAACGAGTTAATGCATTGATTTCGGGAGGATGTAATTCAATGGTCTGCGAGGCGTTAGCCAGGAAAGTAGTTGTTTTTCTCCCGAGATCTTCAACATTGTTGTTCATTTTATGAACATTTTGTGGAAATGACTTTGAGCTTTTTGTATTCATTTGACATTGATGGATTTCACTTTGAGCATTGTGGCAATATTTTAGTTGATCTTTCCAATCGTTTGAAACAATCCCATCAAACCCGGTATATCGTTGAATTTGTGACGATAATCGCTCACTGATTATGAAATGAAATACGGGGTGTCCGATTTGAAATTCATAAGTTTGGGTCGTATCTGGTGAAACCGGAAGTGATGGGAGAATATGAAGTATAAAAAAATGGTACAATTTTTGAATCCAACATCCTTGCCAAGTTTGAATAGCATACCTTCAGAACTCTTGAAAGTATGGCTTGTTTGATGAAAACATTTTCACTCGGTTTGTTTGGGAACACACTCGGATTACAATAAAGACACATATGAATATCAACAAATTACATTACATTATGACTATCAATATGTTCAATGGTACAAAATTTAGACTACTGTGCAGCAAGAAAGGATCTTCCACATTATTAAAACTCTTGTGACAGAAACAATGATACAAGATACAGCAGATAGCCTCCAAACTTGATACCTATATCACAATACTATGGGTTTTAAGGAATATAGATATCCAAATTTACAAGAAAATTCACAAAATTAATTTAAACAAGATGATCTGACTTTCAATGACAAAGAAATTTTTGTAAATAGAATTCGATTCACATTATGACATGTAGATGTTGTATGAATCAAAATGAGAATTGGGGCTAATCTAATTTAATCATCGTCTTGCATTCTCCTATGTGGATAAATAATATTGCTGATGTTGAAATTACCCCCTGAAAAACCTAAAAACCTAAACAAATTGAAGAATGGATAAAAATAGTGTATATCATCTTCCACCAATACTGGTATCCAGATTGGTAGGTGACAATCAGAACGGATGATATCGTGAAAATAATGCAATAAATAAATTTTATGTTGATTCATCAGCCTCCAAATAAAGTCAGCTCAAAGTTGTTTTGTAATATTGTTATGTCTCACTACAGTGGATCATTTCATACACTGATGTTAGTTAGTATATCAGTCAAGGAAGCACCGCTTCTCATCGTGATAACACTCAATAAGTGTGTTTTCACATCAGAAAAATATCCGAAAAATATTCGCATGTAATAATATGATCAGTAAAAGCAAAAACCCAAAAACGCAAAGGTGTCAAAATAGTCACCAAATGATTGTATATAGTACACCACTTTGGCGTTGAACAACACGAACCGATGAAATTAGCACTCAGGTATTTTAGTGCAGTTCTTGACTGTATGTGAGAACGAATGACACCCTATGATGATGCTAAAAATATCAGTGTTAATTGTCACTAAAAAAATCAGGACCTCTGAGGATACCCAAGGGTGTTAACTGGTGTGAACTGGTGTAAGAATAACTTTTGTATTTTCCTGCATAATGATTGAGCAATCAGCTTTTTGAGGAATCAAAATTCTAAAAAAATCTAAACATAAATCTACAATTTGGTTGAAATTTCACCTGAATAGGACAGGAATTAAAAGAGTTACAGGGAAATCCATTTCGCTAAATATTTTTCTTGCTTTTATGCCGGTGAGTGTACATAGAAAAATTAAGTTTAACTTTGACACCCTGTATACCTTTATTATTAACAATATATCATCAAGGCAAGTATAGGCTCAAATCGTATGATGTTTTGAAAAACCTATCACACTTCTCTTTACAATGGGCTTATATCACAAAAAAATTTTATTTCATAATTCGATAGGACTCACCCAAACTAGCTCACCACCGCAAAGCGTTTCTTGCTGTGAGCTCCCTACGTTTTCTAAAAGAATATTGAAATCCCCGATTTTTCGGACCTCTGAAAACGAGGCGATGATGTGACGTCAAAACCCTAATACTGAAACAAGATTATTCCAGACAGAGATGAATGATACATGATTTCTGACAGAGTGAATTAGCGCGAGATCACAGTTGAAAGAATTAATATATCAGTTGCCTCAGTCTCCGTCGAGCGTTTGGTTTCTACGTCATAAGAGGGTCCGTTTTCAGAAGGTACTATTATTTATGCCAAAAAATAAAACATTCCAGTTAATTTTTCGATCGAATTATGTCGTCAATCATTATTTATGTATAAAAGGATCATTATAAACATGGCTTGAGTTAAAAGTTCTACTAAGGTGTACACGCCCATTATAAGTACTTAAGAACCACCCTGCATAAGATAAAGTAATAATATCATTCTTATCAATTCACATCTTATTATAGCTAAGAACCATGTGAAGCTGCATAGATATTAATGACTCGACTAATATTACTAGCACTTCGTATACTATCATTACGACTCATAAGTTGGTTTCGTGTCGAGTCGTGCGCTTATCGTTATCTGACGAATCAATTACAGAATAATAGTAATAATACTTTACAAATTAGCAGAAGAGATAACAAAGTCGTTTCATGGAACGTCTGGCTCTCAGAGGACATATTTCACGTTGGGACAAAATGTACCGACACGACATCTTGTGTGGACTTACAAGAGAGATCGTACGATTTGCATAGGAAGAAAAATTATTTGAATGATTTACATAATTTGTTGTCGGTGGGATACTTACGAATTTTTTTTACCTCGGCCGACTTGACTAATTTGGATCTCAGAAGGCGCCTTTATTATTATGAAATGTACGCTGTGTGTCTGAGAATTAATGTGTTGAATATTTTATTGATTGCAGATCGCATTTGAATAAATTTCAATGAAGTTGATGTCTTTTTGATTTATGACAGGTTGGGATAATTATATATAAACATTTCTTCTTCTGATTCGAGGAAATGTTATCTTGTTTTGTTTTGATTTAATATCTTGATATCGTTATCGATGTTTATAACTTATTACAGCAGTGGCGTGTCGTCCATGGTAGCACAGCTTTCCTTACCCAAAAATCGGAATCACTTTTATGAATGATTTCTCAGGTAAATAGTAGCAAAAATACATTCTAATGATCAAAATATGCCTATATATATATTACACAGGTATTTTAAACAACATACAAAGCTTTCATAAACAAATTACACTCAGTTCCAAAAAAAGTGACGCACTTGAAAAATAAACAAAAAAATAGTAGGCCGATTTTTTTTTATTTGTTGGTAGGTAATGCATTTGTCTTTAAAAAAAAATAAAGAGGTGAAAATTTGTTCAAAGCCTCTTTGATGGTGGTGGAATAACTCGAACCATGATTTATTCTTAATTTTTGACTCACCCTGCGTGTTAATTGAGTGATGGTATACAAAGTGCTTACACCCTATACGAAAGAGGCTTCTTTTATCTTTTTTGCTGATACCTTACGCTTATCCCACAAATTGAATTTATTGAAGGATCAGAGTACTCAAAATTGATTGGGTTGTACGTTGTACTCTGGTAGGATCACATTGTCTTTAAAAAAACAAATGCCGTTGCCATAGCAACTAATTTGTTGTATGCCTCCATATTTGACCATTTGTCGTTGTGTCATTGATTAAGTGTCTTGTTTTATTGACTAAAATTACATAAAATGCCTCAAATAAATCCTGAACAAGTAGCAAGATTAGTTGCGTTAGTAAACGATGGGCATAGTAAACGTTACGCCGCTCGTGCAGTGGGACTTCATGAAGCAACTGCTCGTAGAGCAATCCGCAAGTACGAACAAACAGGAAGTACCGCTCGGAGGGTCGGTTCTGGTCGCCCCCGAAAAACTTCTCCAAGAGATGATCGCTTCTTGAGATTGCGGATTTTACGGAATCGATCAAATACTGCGATAAATGTTCAGCAAGATCTTCGCCAAATTCGCAGTAAGTAAGCAGACGGTATGAAGACATCTAAAAGAAGTTAATTTAAAAGCTAGGAGACCTGCAAAAGGTCCCAAATTATTGCATGAACATCGTGCTGCTAGAAGAAATTTTGTTGAAAATTATGGACAGTGGAATATTCCTGAATGGTCGAATGTCTTGTTTACGGATGAGTCAAGGTTTTGCCGAGGGTTTTGCCTTAACATGGTGGATGGAAG